TGGGAGAAGGTACAAGCACACTGGAAATCAGTATAAGAATTTGGAATAATCTTCACAAATCAGAGAAACAACCTGACAATTCAACAGAGTCAGTGAAAGTCTCTGAGAAGAAACAGCTGCACAACTGCAGGGTAAGAATCAAGCAGTAAGGGAAGAAGAAAATTCATGACGTGCCGATGACATATTGGGGTAAGTAATCAGAAGCATGGTTTGCTTAACATGAAATAATCTTCTTTCTGTACTTAGTATTGAGAAGGCAGTTTTAGGTACAGTATATGAGTAAAGATACGGACCTATTACAAGAGGACCATATAAATACTGTTTGCAATAACAAACACCTGAAGAGGACAAGATACAAGGAAACGCTGAAGGAATCAGGGTTGCTTAGTGTTAGAAGAAAATTGCAGGAAAACACAATGGAGCTTTTTAAGTACTAAGAACACAGCAGCAGAAAGTAACAGTATACCTTATTGTCTACTGGGTAGATCAAGATACAATAGTCATCGATTGATGCAAGAGAAACTTGGGTTAAGCATTAGTGAGAACTGCTTAAAGGCAGTGAAAACCAACTACTGGAACTAGTTATGGAGAGATGCTGATATTCTCCCTCACTCCAAAGGTCAGATCTGGCAACCATCAGCCAGAATGATGCAGGTAGAGCTGAGCCTTCTGGCCAGGTATGGACTAAATGTTGTTATCTGCAGCTCTCCGAGACCAAAGTCAGAATGGTAAAACAAAGGAGAGTGGAAAGGTCAAAGCAGAGTCATCTTGCCCTAAAGAGGACAGACACCTGCACTTCTGCAAAAGGCTTTGTCCCCATCAGGCACCCTGCAGTACCAAGGAGACTCCGTCATGCCTTTCAGCTGTATTTTAGTACAAATGATTCTGACTCTGCCAGCTCAGTGATTTCTTCTGAAGGTTGATTTAAACACTCTCATAGAGGCAGCTAAATTTCTCTCCAGCTTCAGTTCTACCTGGCAGTAGACCTCCCTGGTGCAGTTCTGGATTCCTCCATTTAAACAGACCTGTGAATGACTTCTTCCTCAAAGCAGGCCAACAAATACACCTGGAGTACCTTTTCCACCTTCACTTCTGTACAGGACACTACAGAGCTTTATTCCTTCCTGTTTTCTGTTCAACAAGCATAATAAACCATGCTGTACTGTGAGTACAACGGAATAGCATTTGCTCTAGGATTATTTTTTTTTACAGTGGGAACTTAAAATATATGCGTACAAATGTATCCATAGTTAATTCCTGCAGTTTTAATTTTTTTTTCAGATGACCTTGAAGCTTTTTCACAGGCACATAAAATGCCACACTGAAAGCCTCCATCAGATCAAGAGAGACTACTTTCTATTTATAGTTGAATATCAGAGACATCCATATCTTATTAATCACAATGAAATTAAAATGCATTCTATACTGGTTTTTATTCCAGATTAATTTCCAAATTTGGACATTTTTAGATTACTAACATTACCTTGAAGTATATAAATATTTAAACAAGGACAGTTTACCTTTTCTGGTGGGTGTATAATAAACAGTTTAACCATCATCTATATACAGGCTGTTTTGTTCTCTATCTAAAGAGACAATCACCTTTTATCCTTTTCCTTTTTCCTTCATTTCAGTGCTATTAGGAAACTATTCACAAGTGCAACCCTGAACAATACTATGCAGTAATTATGACTAGATGACAAAGAGATGTGAACAATTACTGAGCCCATTTTGAAACCCTACACTAATAAAGTCATTAGATGCTGCCCTTGCCATGAGCCTTCTAAAAGCTTCTGAAGTTACAAGAACACACGGCATTGTTCGTTAGGACAATTGCTGCTGGCAGAATGCAAACCTTGAGTTAAACCATGCTGCAAATTGATCTTGACATTCTGTTAAGACCGCCACTAAAATCAAAAGCAAAGGAGAAAAGGAGAAAATGAGCGGGTGGGATGTAATCATGGAACAGAAGGGTTCCCTCCTCACCTTCTTTCCTCTTCCTCCTCAAAACAAACCATACAGAAAATGACAAACTCGCCTGGTGTTTGAGAGCCTTTATTTTTAAAACATTAATTAGACTTTTGACCTGTTTTTATGGACTGGCACTGTATTGCTATTAAAGTAAATTAAATAAAATATTGCAAAATACAATAGATAAGGTTTTCACACTGTTCTGTGAAACCTGCTAAGGATTTGATGCCCAAAGAACAAGTCCAGCAGTTTTGCAAGCAACATATACAGAATCTATGGTCACTCCTTCGGAGGCAGTGGTAAATTAACTCACCAAGTCCAGCACTCACAGACCCCACACCTGCAATATATTTGCTGAAGGATCAAATAGGATTGGGGAGCTAGAGTAATATGGTCAACTGGTCTTCATCCAGGCATGCATCATTCAGTAGGTTAGTATTAAGGGTCAGCAACTGTGAATATGGCTAATTACTTGGTGACGGAAATTGCAGGTGAAGACAACCTGCTGCTGAGAAGCACTTTGGTCAATTAACTCTTTCCTAAGCTTAAGCAAAATGAAAAACTATCATTTGAACATTAAAACTATTAAAACTAACAAGTACCTGTCATCATAGCTGAGAAAAGTTGGCAACACCTTGAAATACAGCACCCAAGGGCAAAGATACCAAAAGCTGAAAAGCTGCTACAGACATCTGAGGCACTGTTTTATGGTTTTGGCATTGCTTTGCTTGGCAAACATTAGGTACTTTGGAAATCTGTTAATATTATGTGTAATCTATGTTTGTAGATGCTGTGTGTACAAGCATAAGAGTATGTGTGCATGTGTAGGCATATATGTATTTATGTATATTCATTATATACATGTCCTGGATGTAAATACATGAATCACATTAATATATATTAATGAATTAATAAAAATACTTATGCATGTGCTTGTGTACATATATACACACACACACACCATTATATTACAATAATGGTATTAAGTCAACTCTTTGAAGTATGAAGATGCCAGAACTACAGCTGTTCGTGTCTGGCCCTCCTGCCTACCTTTCCCTATACTTAAGGAACTGCTTAGCCCATATGATGGCCCAACACAGCTGGTGAGCTGCTCCAGCTGTACGCTCAGCCCAAAAGGTAGAGCCAGAACAGTCAACATCACTACTACCAGACACTGATATGAAGAAATCATATTTTGTATCAGACGCGAAATGAGGAAACAAAGATTTAGGAGCTGTTTCTACAGCGTTCAAGATAGACCCCCATTTTGTTAATGAGAAAAGCAGAAGCTAGCAATAAAACTGCTTTCAGAACAGACGTATATTTCATCCATAGATTTCAGAAAGAAGACAGCAAAGGGTAAGAAAAAGCAGAACGTCCAAGATTTATATATTTTTTTTTGCTTATATGACAAAGTATTTCTATCTATTTTAAATCACTCATGTCATCTACAGTACTGAAAACCTGTCTTTTACTACTGAAACTGAGGGTCCCTACTGATTAGAGTAAATAAAGTGTGCCCGATTGTTCTACCTTCCCATGTCACCTTTTTCACTAATGCATCTCTAACAGCACAAATAAGTTATTGGGCCACACTAGAATGCAGAAAACAGCTCCTTCTGTTGTTTTCTCACTATTCAAACAAAAAGCTACATGCAACTGCGTTTGTAGGGGAACAGAATACTCCAAGAACACTATTGTTGTGTCATATAAAGAGGTACTGCATATTTATTTACGGGAATGCCTACAGTGCACTGATACTTTCCAAAGAGGGAAGGAAGCACCATGCCCCCTCTGAAGAAATCACAGTTTAAGGAGCAGGATGTGACACTAAACACAAATGAGAAATTATTCTAATTTGAGCCAGCATGCCTTGTTTACCCCTTACTATTTTTTGACCTCACTGTTAATATGACAGTTTCTTTGTTGTTGTTAATAGAAAGCAAAAAATGAAGGCTTAAAAACCCTATCATACTGCACAATCAGTGACTAGGTTCATTGAGAATAGCTATAAAGCCTTAAACAAGCCCTTTATTTTGTGTTTTAAAAAGTGTCATAAGGAGTTAATAGGACACAGCTGTACAGGCTCTTTCTAATAAGCAGCTTCTGTCGCTTTGGTCACCACAGGTGTCTCTGTAACCTGCAAACTCTTATTACTAGTGTATCAAAGTTGTGCTACTTAATAGATTTCTTTAGTAAAACACAACAAAGCAATTACATGGCTGTTGATCGTCAGTCATAAAAAAACCTCAAACACACTTTTTCAAAAGAAACTACACTGCAATTTTTTGTCATTGTAAAATAAAAGAAACTAGAGAATTAAATAGAAAACCAAACAATAGAACAGCAGGTAGTCAACTGAACTTAGCCACTACAGATGGTTTAGAAATAGTGTTTCCTTCTACACCAAGTTGTGGGATAAAAGAAAAGGAGGAGGCTCCTTACTGCCAATGAATGGCAATACCAAAAGACTTAAGCAAGTTTCCCGTCTATGTATTTGGTCCCATGAAAGAACCTAGATGTTTCTTTTTCCTTTCTCTCTCTCCCCCTCTTTTGCTTTTTTTCATAATCTTTAACAGTTCTCTAGAGTAATTTGAACTACATGCACAACCACAGATTCATCCAATGACAAATGCAGGAAGTTGAGTGAGGAATTCCTATGTAACATGTCATTTTAAAAGTGCATTATTAGACGAAATGATTGTTCTGTTCTCTCTTGTCCACTTCTAGTAAAGAAATATTAAGAGGAGACATAGCTCTAGAGCTATGTTTGCAAAATAAACTCTAAAAGGAAAAAAGGAACTCAATTATTGAACTATTTTTCCTATGCAGGAATAAGAAGTGAATTTGTAATGAAAATGTGGAGGGTTCGATTCCCAGTAAGCATCTGCCAGCACAGCTTCATTGATTAGTTATGAACAAGCAAGTTTTTACTTCAAATAAATATCAAGCAACAAAACATTTGATACACAGAGATAAGCTCTTCTTTGAAGGAAAAGTTACTCAATTCACAGTGCCAAGAGTCTTACCTTGCTCTGTTTGCTTCTTTTGTCATGTCCCACGCCCAGGTTATGAAGTTCTGACTCAGATATGAGACAATAGATTCAGCACAGAGCATTTGTGAGCAGAAAACGTTGGTTAGTACGCTTTCGTCATGGTGGAGGTAGATAGCAAGAAGCTTTCTCTGAAAAGACATGAAAAAAAGATTCACCAGTGAACATTTCCTCAGTCTATTTAGTAATTTTAAATTATGGTTGCATGTTTGTGCATTAGTACACCAATGGTGTTTATTGAAGGTGCCAACTACCTCAAAGTGTGCACACAAGAAAAAAACAATAGATTTCAAGGCGAAGGGTCCATCCCTCTAAATCTACAATGTTTTTTCAACTCTTCCTTGCAATTTTATATTGGGTACCAAAATATGATGTGATATCCTTAGAACATGAAAATAATAACGTTTCAATGTAAAATCAAAAGCTATTTATAGACTTAGCTTAAAAAATGTGTGAACTTCATTGGGCAGCCTGCCAAAAAAAAAAAAAAAAAAGATAACATTTAGAAAAATTCCCTGAGCAAGGAACACACCAATTAATACAACAGTGTCTACGATTTCCAAACAAATAAAATTAAACGCAACCTTAAAAAATGACAGCGCGTTATCACCATCCCATCTGTAGCCAAACAAAAGAGAAAATTGAGTAAGAAAGAGTACAGCTGCCCACTGTCCCAAAGCCTGTGATGCTACATGCTGAATGTTTTGGCAGCTCTCCATCCAGTCGTATGGTGTGGGGAGGCCCCCAGCACATCAGCCTCTCACCTACTTCATAAGTCAATGTGCAGCTGATGAAAAGGCCATGTGCCAGCCCAGCTGGCTGAATCTCTTGTGGAGTTGAGAAGAAAGGTGGCTGTCCCAGCACTACAAATGTGTAAGACACAAGTGCAAGGGATGTGGTATGGAAATCACAGAATCATAGGATATCCCAAGTTGGAAGGAGTTGGGCCCACAAGGATCATGGAATCCAACTCCTGGCTCCACACAGGACCAGCCCAAAACCAAACCAGCTGTCTGAGAGCATTGTCCAAACTCTTCTTGAGCTACGACAGGCTGCTGACCACCCTCTGGGTGAAGAATCTCTTCCTAAACCCCAGCCTGACCCTCCCCTGTCCCAGCTCCATGCCGTGCCCTCGGGTCCTGTCGCTGTCCCCAGAGAGCAGAGCTCAGCGCCTGCCCCTCCGCTCCCCCCGTGAGGGAGCTGCAGGCCGCCATGAGGCCTCCCCTCAGCCTGCTCTGCTTGGGGCTGAACAAACCAAGGGACCGCAGCTGCTATTCATAAGTCATGCCCTCTGGACATGGGAAACAGATCAAATGAGTGAACTGTGAATCCCACTTTACATTTGTGAGTTTTGATACATCACATCGTAGCTGCCCTGGTAGCAAAGACTAGATGCTGGAGATGGTATTAGTGGTCTCTTAAAACCAGATAATCTTTGCTGTGTTTTTCTGAAATCCAATCAAGTAATATTTGAAGTTCACTGTCAGCAGCATACAGCTCTGCTGTGTGTCCCCATGACACTTTCAGACCACATTCTGGAAAGTGAGTCTGTGTGTACACAAAGAGAGCAGACTGAAAAATACAGGAAAACTATAAGCTATTACAGGACAATGATCCTATATGAAATATTTAAGAAATTATAAACACCATTCAGAAACTTACAATGTTCTACTTGTTTCCTTAGACAATACAGTAAGAGGTATTTTCAGACTTTTAAATAAAAGTCATTTAAAATCTCTTCATTAGACCTAAGACTGAATGCTAGATACTGAGGTGCATTGATATAGCAAGACATGGGATGCAATTTTGAGACAAATTTGCTTTTTAAAAAACCTGTATGGCTATAACCTCAAATACTTGCTTTGGGTAAAACCTAATGACTGTTTATAAAAAGAATAATACATTTGAACATTAGACTTTGGGAAAGGGATTAGTAATTTGCATTAATGTTTGACTAATTTAATTTAAATGTTCTTCAGAACCAAGTACACATGTGCCAGAAAGGGCCATTAATAAGCCCAACATGCAGAGATCCATATAAGTGCAGGCAACAATGTTGACTGAAACTAAACTTGAAAATCCAGGGCACTAATGCACAATATCAAGCAATAAAACAGCATTTCTGTGGTGATATTTAATTTAAAAAGAAGAAAGAGGCAGGGGAAGATCAGGCACTGTCTGTTTTTGAGGATCAGCCATTCTGCATTTCAAAGCGTCGATCCCTGCAATATCCAGGTTACTGTGCTAGAATCTCGACTATTATATAGCACTTGTAAGAGAGGGAGGGCAAAGATGTGTTTACTCAGTGATTAGGGCCTTAGAATAAGCCTCTAGCTCCTAGAGAGACAGCTCACCACTTATTCATTTGGACCAATTCACAAAGCCTAGAAAGATTAAACATCCATGCTGAGAAGACAAGCGAATGCAGACGGTGAAAAAGAAATAAAAATTCTTTAAAAACTCTGAGATGACTTCATTATTTTTTCCACAAGGAAACTTTAGGAAAGTGTTTAGTTAGAGAAAAACCCACATTGACCTCTCTCTAAACCCTTAATCTTTCCTTTGTGGTGGCACTGCTTTGTGGTAAGCGGATGGCTTTGCTCTCCTCTTTTCACGGGGAGCGAGTAGAAAAAAAAGGCTCTTGAGAAACACTTTTAGTTCCAAAGAAACAACCCCATGAAACTGTTAAATATGAGATTCCATACAACTGAATGTTTCAAAATATGTACAGTTTTAGGCTTAAAGATTTACAGACAAATTTTAGTAAACAAAACAGGCACACACACAATAGATGTTTACATTGAGCTGCTTTACAAGTGAATGTAATTTTTGTTGCATCAACAAAACTTGCTAGGCAAGGACTAAGCACCATATATACAGACTATATTTGTGTCTGCCAGTTTGTCCAAAATATTAAGGCTGGGCATAGGCATATTGCAAGAACAATGAAAGGTGGTAACAGGACAAAGTGCTGAAACACCATTTTGAAAAATCTTTATAGAAGGCAAGAATATTTTTTTCTTGGAAAAATGTGCTATTGCAAAAGGCTTGAAGCTGTTTTGGAGAGGTGAGTTTTGTTGTTGTTATTGTTATTATTGTTATTATTATTATTATTATTATTATTATTATTAACACATGGTAGTATATATTGTATGAAGTGCCTTTTTTTTGTTATTTCTAGACTTTTGAAAAAAATCAGAGTAAATTCTAGGATTCTATGATGACTAATACGGGGAATTTTTTAGTCAATATAAATAAAATAGGCTTACTAAACTCTTGAACAGTCTTGACTTTCATAAAAGAAGACTATTAATGCAACACCAGTCTGTTCTGTTTTGGATGTCTCAAAAACATAATGATTTCAGGGTTATATACTTAGCACAAAATTTTAACCAAGAAAAAAATCCAATGAGAAGAACTTTTGTTAGTCCCCAGGTATGGCATACTGAAAAGGTTCTAAGTACTGAATATCTATCTGATGGGCTTCTAAGAATTTAAGCCATCTAGGGATGTATTTTTCAGAGGATGTTGATGATGAAAACCACGCAGTCATGTACTAGAATTTTCAGAAGGGGACAGGATTTACAAACATGATGAATCTAAGCCTCCTCATTATCAGCAACACTTAAGGTCCTAAATGCTTTAGCTCTAAGCTCCAGGTTACATTTTATTTAAAGGAAAATGGGACATCAGGAAGAGGCACTAACCATTTTCCGCATCTTATTTATCTAAATACTTTAAAAGGAGAAAAAACATCCAGATCTCAAGCATTTTTTTCTACCACTTCTGTTGCAATCAGACTGTGCACAAGACCCAGTTGGCTTTTCCCCTGCTCCTGTGCCCCACACCCACCACCATGTAATTTGCTGGGAAGTGCTGCAGCCCCTTCCTGCCTGATTTTGATCTGTTGATGGAACATGCATGGCATGTGGCACCCTGGAGAGAAACACAGGCTGCAGAGGGACACTGAAATGAAGGCCAAGTTGTCCCTGTGGCAGAATGAAACACGTATCTTCATGAGATTGAGAGACTAATTGGATCATCGCTGAGAGAGTAATGCATTATCAAAGCTTCTCAGCCAGTTCCTAAAACACGAGTAACTTTCAGATAGCACAGAAGAATACGAATATGAAAAGCAATAAAGTCACAAGGGTTGCAAAACCACAGACCTGGATGTCTATTTCTGAATCTCAGCTTTACAAGTTCAAGTAATGATTGAGAAAAACATTCACTACATAACTTGTGCTAGAGACTTGAATGTTCTTTCAAGTTGGTAGGCTAATGATCTTCATTCTTCCTCCAGGTTTTACATAGTAAAAGCTAATTTAAAGGAACAAAGGGACACTTTTGCACATCTTTAAGCCTTTGATGTGCACAATCTGATCCACCTATCTAAAGTGATCCTGGAGATCGTATGATCAGCTTCCTTGAGCAAAACTACTTTATCATGTGCAGTCTTTTTTCCTAAGCAGAATGTAAACCCTCTGCAACACACCAAGGTGATATGCATTAGTATTTATTCCACTTTGAAAAAGGATCAAAGCAGGAATAGGGCAGACAGAGATTCATAGGAAGCCTTTCCTGTATATTACAAATAACAGAACAGAACTTGCTAAAGATAAGCAAATTCCCCTTGCACCAGTCAAAACAAAGGACACAGATACCAAAGACATAAACAAGGGGCAGTAACCAGCTTCTAGCGCTGTAGAAAAAGATCTGAATTGGATCCTGTAAGATCCTAAGTGAGACCGAGATGATCCCTGATCATTAGGAGATCAATCTCCTGATCTGGTCTTTTGTATTATACATGGCATAGGACATCTCTAAATTAGTTCCAACGTTAATTATTTTACATATTTCAGTAAAACCTTCAGTGAAAGAGAATCCAGACGAAACAGGAAAAGCTGTTCAAATGGTTAACCACTCTCCCATGTGAAGGTGTGCTTTATTTTAAGTTTAATTTAAAATACTTTCATGTTCCAGCTATTTGATCCTATTATACTGTTGTATCTCTATTTCAATCAATTGAACTTGTAGTGATATCTTACATAGTGCAACAAATAACCAGTAATTAAAACCGAACTCAGATAAGCTTCAAAAGAGGAGAAAATGTTGAGTGTGGCAGACAATTTCAGTAAACTTTCAGTGTTTAATATCAAGTACAGAGACCGTTGAAGATACATCTATACCCAAGACTAACCCTTCCCATATGAATGATGAAGCAGAATAAAGGGTGTGTAGGGACACGATGAGACTACTGAGCTGATATGTTGTAGCAAAAATTTCTAAATGGTAATTATCTATTTCAAAATCAATTTAAGGATGAAAGTACAGAACTGCCAACAAATGCATCAGGCAAGACTGGAAAGTAAATGTAGGTGACTAACATGGGGCTTAACTGGAATTTATGTACTGAAATCTACACTACTGCAGCTGCTTTACTCTTCCTGGGTACCTAGCTTTACACTTCTCTAGCTGTCCTCTACAACCAGACTGTGTAGACTGGCATTCAGGTTATGGACACCAAATTATAATCTGTTAAGTAGTCACTTAACCTCTAAGATTCCCACACAGCTCAACTGAAAAATAATTTTCAAAACACGCCCACCACATGCCATACACTCAAACCCCTCATAAATCATAGCAGGAGTGATTTGATTTGATTTGAAATGTGCCCAAAGTAAAAGGTGGTGGTGAAGCTATACTCCACACTGCTCCACAGTATTTAGGGAACATACACAAGAATACATTCAATCCCACCTGACATGACAGAACTCCCTTCCCTCACTGGCCACCTGCCTAGACTTTCCTCTAATCAGTAATTACCCACTGTTCTGGAACAGGTCCCTTCTTCACCCATATGCCAAACTTACTACACTTTGCAGAAACTCATTCATTGGGCCTAAGAAGGCATTGGCTGGGGAGAATCTTTCATCTAGGAAAGAAAATATGACAAGGGCTAAACCAAAAAGCTGTCCTACAGCCATTGCACTCAGTGTAGTCTTTAACAGTCTTGTTCAATTTTCCCACAGGCTGGTGCATCCTTGGCATAGAATACCTCAGGAGAGGGTACTTCAAGGACCCAAAAGGTCAGTATGAACTGAATTAGCTGGAATAATAATGAGGCACAGTTTTCTGCATTATGCAGATAAAAATTATACAACGGAAAACCCTGTATGAAGGAATACTAAAGCTACCACCTGAAAAGAAAAACAGGAAAAAAAAAAAAAAAAGGAACAAAAAAAAGGTTTTATTTGATCATGCTAAATCACAGAAAGAGCATACTTTCTTCTAGGTATTCAGGAAATTAAGTACCCATATGTGAAAGCAATGGTTTTGCCAGGAAATTGAACCTAAAAGACAGAATTCAGAGAGAAGAACAACATGGCTCATTTTCAGCATGCAGGAGTATATATTGAGGTGACAATACCAATCTGTGCTAAGAGAGATGTTTCACATATTTATTAGAAGTCAGTGGACAGAAAGGTTGAGAGAGGAGCAGGAGGTGATCTGACAGAGGTATAAAAACATAAGAGCTACTGAAAAGGTAAAGCAGATGCCTTTATCCTTTTCTCGTAATAAAAGAGTAGCAACCACCTGTAAGATAAAAAGGTAAACAAACTCCAATAAAAGAAAATACTCTAGTATTACTCAAGGAAATAGCTTACAGAAATTCAATATAGAGATTAAGCAATACCACCCTAAGTTAGGATAAACCCCCTGATGTTTCAAAGCATAAGGCACCCATAAACTGCATTCAGTTGGAAAGAAACCTCCTGCAAACATCTTGTTTAAAAATGTGCATTATAAGATTTCATCTCTGGCATCTGTTCTAGCTATTTTTACGATGGTGCTTGAGCAAGAGTAAGCTTGTTCTTCATAAACTAGTATGATAGCAAAATGTTTCTTTCAAATGGGCACAATAAATAGAGAAATAATTTCACAAAATAAGTTATTTTAATAGATCTTTGTCCTTCATTCCCTTCCTGACCCAATTACAAATTAATAATGAAAATATTTTCTTGTGTTACAGATACACAGTAAGCCTTAGAAATTAACACAGAATGCTCTGAACCATCATGCTGCAAGAGGTAATTGGGGATTTCGTTCACAAGGACCAAGGACATCAGTTGTTAAAGGCAAAACTCTGTATCTTGGCTTGTCTATATCTGCATTTTTGTGTCAGAGGTATGTACATGTTATAAAGCAGAGCTATATTTGACCTTAACCCATCTCTCTGCCTAGAACTGGCATTGTCATGGTAGCACTTGCTCTTAAGCAAGATACCCATCATTTGTGTTAACCTTAACTCTAATGACTCAAAATAAAGAGCTATGATAAAAACCTAAACAAAATACAGGTAAACAGACAAACACCTAACCTTTCTAAAAGGTGTTTCTTTTTCAAATAACATTTTCTTATGCAGCTATGAATTAACTTCATTTCCAATGAGTGAAAAAAAAAAGTTAAGATTTAACAGAAAAACATTTATTTTCTGCAAAAGAAATATATCTATGTTCAAAATACATGTTCTGACATATATTTTATATGTTAAAATCTGTGTTTAAAATATATGTTCTGACATAAATTGATTTTCTTAAAATAACCCAAACTAATGTGTTTCTGAAAAAAGGCTTCAAGTTCATATGTAATGGGCTATTTTGGAAGGAGAAAGTATCCACTATACAGATTAAAAACACAGCTGATGGCTGTCTAACTGGACCTGAACTGTTGAGTGCACCTTCTGCTCTGGACAGCATTGAGATTTTGTCAAGAAAAGGCTAAGATCTCTGAGCACTCTTGCTGCCAAGTGCTCTCAAATTAAATCAGTTTGAAGTGGTTTTCATTAAGATGGATTGAGTGTGGCATCGTGAGAAACACTCTATCAAATGTAGTGTTTTACTTAGTGATTAAGTATATACCAGTTGATGAAGCTACCCAAATCCTTCGTAATCCCACCACTCCAATAAACATTTAATGAGTATATAAGTTCAAAAAGCCTAGCAGAGGATTTAAACCTTCAATCTTGTTTTTATTTACTCTTGGAACTCAATTTCTCACTTCAAGTGAAGAATGCTGGTGCCTGAAGCTCATCTGTTGCCCTGGTAAAATTAAGTGCCCTCCATAGTATAAATTAGAAGACAGTCAGGTTGCAGTTTTCTGTTAAGCTTTTTCCTTATACTGATATACTTATTCAACTATTTTATGAAATGAAGTTATAAAAATATAAAATAATGTATCCCTTTCCTCACTTAGGAATTCTGGGAGGTGGTTCTGAAAAAACTTGTTTGTAACAGGGAAAACATAATAAAAATAAATGGCTTCTATCCCTTATCATACCTTTGCTTTATATCAGAATGTTATAATCAAAAGAATGACATTTCATAGGGCAGCTGGGAGGCATAAGGGCTTCTAAAAATTATGGCAATTTTTCCAAAAAATATTTAAAGGAAGAAGTCATAAAAATAACACTTTTCTTAATTGTATTACTTTATCCTGATGAAGATCTAGTCCAAATACATCAAAAAATATTAGAAATGCAAGGTCATGTGGATTTCAGATGTGCCATGCAAGTAGTATATGAAGTACCTGGAGTATTAAAAAAATGAAACAACTATACTGCATTAATATCAGATTTAGAGGTATAAAACTGTATTTATGAAAGCTCCTAATGGGCTCTCTTCCATTACAGTGATGGTGTCAACCATTTCTGATGGAATGACACAGTGAACTTTTTAACAGAAAAACTTTTCAAGTTGACTTCATCATTTTATTTCTTTGAAACATACACTGTTCCACTTGAATGAGCTATAAATTTATACTTTGCCAGTGAATTATTCTGTGTACATTTATGCCCTGAAATTCATATACAGTCATAAAATATTCACTAAATTTAGAGTGTAAGAAAATTGTGTCCACAACATGTCAAGTTAGCATTCACTTAAGCTACACAGTGTAGATTCATAGCATACTGATCATAACATCCTCTAGCACAACATAGCTATTCCTTCCAATATGAATAGCTACAGGAAGCCACAAAATTCTTCATTTTAAAATTAAATATCTATCGAGACAACCAAAAATAAATTTAAACAGCATAACTTTGTTTGTGTTTCAGCTTTGTCTATGATTGATTATGCAAGGCTTTGGGTTTCTCCTTAGTGAATTCAAGTCACCAGAACTTAAATAAACTATTCCCATTCTAATTTTATTAAAATACTGATTTTACAACTGTGCACGGAATAACAGAAACTTGAGATGTCTGGTTGGATGGACAGAAAACCTAAATAACTAAACTTTAGTACTGGAATTTACTTGGCAGATAAAGGCTATACAAATGAAGAGAAAAAAAAAAGAAAGAACGAATGAAAGAAAGAAAGGACTGTATTTCAGACACCTTTAAATATAAATTTACAATTTCATTAGCCATCCTTCAAAGGAGTTACCAACATGCAATGTTGAACTTGTCAACCAAGAGATTCCCAGCCAGTGTTAAGTAGGGCTAGGACACGATTATTTCAGGAAGAAAAGGGAGGAGAATTAAAAAAAAAAAAAAAAAAGAGAGAGAGAGAGAGAAAAAAAAACCTGCCCCCATAGTTACCAATCACTACAGGACTTAAAAGTATAGTCTGAATAATTAGAAAGCATGCATTATTCACTGTAACTTCAACAACAATAAGAGTAAGCATTTTGGTCAATCAACCATGTAATTATTCACAAATAATATACATAACTCCAAAATATAGTTTACCTTTTTAAAACAATGATAAAACGTGTAGTGATTTCCATTTTTTCCCCTAAATTAAATGAAGTAACTTTAATACACACTTACATCTCTAGCTTTCCCATAGAAGGCTTCTTGAAAAGCAGCCTCTAATGATCCAATAAAATAAACAGGATGGCAGTCACCGTATCTATTTGAGATAAAAATTTCAATTAATAAAAAAATACTAAAGTAGTAATTTCATTATTCTACCTCTTCATGTATGCTGTTAATAAAACACATTGGCTAAATACTTAAAAGATAAAGTACTACATTTCTAAATATTTCTGCTCTCTCCTTTAAAGCAAATCTGTCCCTCAGCATTCAAAAGCTTAAAGTAACTAATTGCTACATTACAAATTTTACCATAAAAACTTTTTACAAACATAGACACCTTAATTTCTAAATATATATACTTTTCAATAATAATGTATTTCTTCCTTTTACTATATTTTTAAAGGTTAACTAAAGTGTATTGTATTACACATGAATGCATTTCATTTATATACAAAAAGTACATTTCCTTATACAGGGGTGAAAACAGAAGGCACATAAACTTTGCATTAGTTTGTAGTACATTATGCAGCTTCTACCTTTCTGATTAAATGAGGTAAGCGTTTAACAGTGTAAGATCCAATGGTATGAAGTTAAACAAAAAGCAGCATTTTATTTTTAAAAAGCAATGATTGATCCAACCATTTCATTTTTGTGAAAGCTCTTTTTGCAACTCTGTATATATTCTTCTATATTAATCAACTTCAGCCTTTTTGTTCCTGAATACCAAATTAAAATTAGTATACATAATCAGATTCTTTATCATTCTTCTGGACTCCTACATAATTAACGATATTAATTAGTAGCAAATTAAATAAGGCAAGAATCTGTCACTCTAAAATGGACTGAGAAATATGCTATTTCAGAAATAGATCCAACAAAGTTAAGCTTAAAATAAATTAGATAAGGATGTCTAAATGTGTATCCTTATAAAAGAAAATATGTACATTTGGTTTATTTTTATTTTCATTATTTACTAAATTTAACTTAGTTTCTAACAGGAATTGCACAGTTGTAAGGCTGAGCTTACCTTGAAGAAAACTCTGCTGTAAATTGTAATAAGGCATCTCCTTCATTTTCAGCATTTTCTGGCACTAAAAAAAAATTAAATAAATTAAATACAACCTTATGGAAACAGATTTTAATATGCGCATTCACTTTGCTTCATGGATTTTTTATGTTTACAGCTTACTGAAGTGGTTACCAAGAGACCATATAAATTTCATGAAAGACTATGAACCTTTGGAAAGACATGGAATTTCCAGACACTCTCATGAATATATTCAGGCTTTCCAAACAGTAAAATCCTCAGGTCCAGTGTAATGTGATATATCACTTGTTCAGAGTTAACACTCTGGACTTACATTAATATATTAAAATGAAAGGACTGGCTTGAAAGGCTTGACCCACAATATTTCTAGTTACTTTTTTTATTAGTATTATTATTTTAAACTTCCTAAACATAATGTTAAAAAGTTTCACATGCCATCACAGTGACATAACTTTGCTGTCAAAAACTTTTAAGGTAATAATAACATCAAGGCAAGCCTAAAAAAATAGAGTATATATCGAATAGCGCATAGGAAGTAATTGACTGTTCCTGCTTGATTCTTTTCATAATTCAAGGACAAATAATCACTAAGAAACTTGTTAAATGTATATATCTAAAAATATTTATCACCACAAGATGCTAAAACTAAAATCTGTAGAATTTTCGAAACAGGAAAATCTAGGTTTCTACAAGTACATTTGGTTACAGATCACCATTTCTCAGCATTAAATCACCTTCCTTCAACTAGAACCTAAAATCATGGGGTTACAAAGAAGCTTCCTCCATGGGAAGATACGTTCATTGTTCTCAGTTACGTTTCCAGTACTCTTATTTAACACACCCATCATACACGAGACTCAAATAATTCTAATGGTCCTATAGAAAAACTTTCCTGTTTTTTTCTGTGCAGACTCGTCATACCTCGCTGCATCCACTAGTGCTTTATTACTACCAGTTAATTGTCAATTAGCTTTCAACTCTTACTCATTGGCGATTTCCTCAAGGCAGATGATGCTACTCCAAACATTTCTCCATCATCAACTCCAAACTCTGTAGCATCTTCAAAATCATCTCCATCACTGTCACTAACCATATGAACATCGGTGCATTGCTATTTAGAAACAAAAAACAAAATCCACCATAAACCTCTATTACAGCCATCATCTTCAGTGAAATACAAAATACATGCTAAAAAATACTTATGCATTTTTAAGAAAATACTTGGTATATTGCATTTTATTTTACTATTTTATACAGCTTTATCAGGTTACTTTTTACAAATAAGATCTATTTTTTACTAGAATTATTGCTGACAGAGCATTATGTGACAAAAAGCATTATTTAAATAACTAAGGATTTGGATTTGCATACACAGAATTGAGCAAAGTTGAGCAAATTTTATCTAAAGTTAATTTTCTTTTCCATCTAAGGGTACTACAGGTGGTATAACTGAATTAGAGTGAGAAAAGCCACAAAATCTACCACTAAGTTCCAATATCTAGATGTGATCTACTTCAGCTATACTTTTATAGTGGGGGACTGTCCTTGGAAGGCTACCTATCTATCTTATGCAATCCCTTCCATATAAATTCAGAATCCATGCTCCTAACTTGGCACAACAGACTACTGCATGTTGAATGACAGGCTGATTTCTTTGGCATAACACAAAGGAGAAAAATCAATATTTTTACGCAAGAAGCTAAGGTCCCATCTGTGCCGACAAACTCCCACTGTCGGGTCTTTTGGACTGCATGTCCTCTGAAATATGTAACAGCTCAGAAAGCCTTATTTTTAACTATTCAGTGTTAACTTGTGTTTATACTGATTTGTCTTCAAGAACAACTTTTCCAGCTTCACTTGACCTGCAACTTACGGTGACAGTGCACTATAGAAAATTTACACGAATCCCTAAAGGTGCAACACAATGTATCACGGCTCCAAATGACCATGACAGGAACAAAGAGCTCAAACCATGCCAGATCTGTCCCTACAATAGCTACACATACCAAAACACTTCAAATAAGAACGCTTACTGAATGGACTAGTCAACAACAAAATTCTATGAAGCGGGCAAACTCAATCAGATCATTACGAAAGAATAAAATAAAGAAGCACAATTAAATAGCTATGGTGGCAGATCTCGGAAGAGAACTATACCTATTTGACCTGCTAAATGGTTTAGGTATAGCTAGAACCACATTGTCTGACCATCCTCTAACCTTAAAAAAACGTCCAACAGACTATATATCCTATATCCAGGCCTGCACCCTGACCATACCTCACCGCTACACCTTGCCAACTCAACTGATCTAAGTAATTGAAACATGTTCTTTTTGTGCAGCAAGATAAACCCTACGTATTACAGTTTTCTAACTGAAATGGTAAGAAGTGTGTGGGAAGTGAGAAACTGCTTTTATATTGATTTAATTTTGAGGAAAGACAAAGGCACTGGAAATTTTAATACAAGCTATTAATAATTAGAAACAACGAAAGGTGACTTTATACAATCTGCAAACATCTCTTTCCGTTAGTATTTTAAAATGTTTCAACCTTCTGTTTAATTTGGAATATTTTCCAACACTTACTGCAGCTTGCTTACTTTGTTCTTACTCTTTTTCTTCAATGATTTGATTTCCCAGTTCCTTACTTCGTCACAGTTATGTGTTACAGGAATTTTGAACAGATTCTTTCATTAACATGCAATTCTGCTGATGTATTTGACAATAGAAAGAACAGCAATCATGGCAAAATGAGCTTTCCCTGCTTCTTTCTAGAGTATATCTTGTTAAATGAAGATGTTCTTACCTCCTCTGACTGTTCCCTCGTTTGTACAGGTGAAGATCTTCTTCCAACTGTAAGTCGATGGCAAGGAAAAGTCAGTCCCGATACAGCTAGAGTCATCTACAAAAAAAGCAATGATCACTTTTTAAAGCCATAGTCTCAATTGAGAGATCTTTTTTCTTCTTTATTTATTTATTTAAGGTTGCTTTGAGATTCATACTAATAACTTCATTGCAGAAGTGCAAATTAATTATACAAATATTAAGTATGAAGACTGGAAAACTAAAATGATTCCTTACATAAAAATATTCAAAGAAACTACAGCTATTATTGCACAGTGACTGCAGATATATAACAGTATCTTCTGTTAGGTGCAATGTGCTAAGACTTATTTTCACCCGAAGATGAAGCTGCTATATCAAATTTTAGGATTTGGAGGATTTTGTTGCTGTTCTTAAATTAGCTATATACAGTCTTCAGGAACAGCTGTATGACCTGCAGATAAAGATGCTTTCAGGAAAAAAAAAAAAAAAAAAAAAAAAAAAAAAAAAAAAAAAAAAAAAAAAAAAAAAAGATGACCGTAGATACTTTTACATATTCTAGTGGAATAGTTTTAAAGGTATGTATGCACAAAGACTCAAAACAAAACAAACTTCAAACTCAAAACCATCTTCAACTGTTATTTTTTCCTAAATCAGAACTGAACTCTGAACTATTGCAAGTAATTTCTCTTGTTTTAAGCTGGACAAGAACAGAATCTTTCAAAGTTGAATAAAAAGATGTATTGATTTGACTCTGTTTTGTTTAGGCTAACTTTTCAAATTGCTGTTTAAATTTGTAATTTTTACTAGCCATATAATCAGAGTTACTTGTTTTGTTTCCATATTAAGACTATATTAATATCTTCCTTCCCTAGCCTAAATATAAAAAAAAAGTGTTATGCCTTGAGGAACTAACAATTTTTTGTCAGAAGTTGTAAGAGACTGTCACAATGGCTATTCAAAATGCATTTCATCTTCATCTTGATCATAAATAAGGTCAGAGGCTCATGCTATATATCTCATATAAATAAGGGCACACACAAACCCAGCATTGGTGAAATTACAGTGAGCACAGACACAATAAACGTTCAGTATTCAGTACCAACAGAAACAGTACTTTTACCTACTGCTGTATGCCTAAATCTAAACTTTTTAAAATCAAGGAGACACCAAATAGAAAAAAGCTAGCATCATTTCAAAGACAAACTGATCGGATGCCTGCAAGCACACAATCAGGTTTGAAGACCTGACTGTACACTGCATTTAAAACTGTACTTAATGGGACTACAAGTAAGAATCGCCTACTTGTCTACCAACAGAACCGCCTGTGCTACTCTTGTCCTTTAGAGCACCCTCCACACGTCTCTTTACGCAGCCTAAGCATGTACACAGCCTGCTGCCCTCTCCTGGAAAGCCTATCCGTCCTTTCTCCAAGCGAGCCTGATGGCCAGAACAAATCTTCAGAAGCTGCTAAGCCCAATCTTGATAGCACGCGGGGTAAATTTACAGCACTGATAGCTCTTAAATGAATACAGCTCATTCATTTTGGGAACAAATCCAATTATTTGCAGAATCTGAACCTGACAAAATATTCGATTCTGTACAGTTCTTAGTGACTTGTATGGGCTGAGTGTTCAAAATAGTGTTTCTAGCTAATGGGTCCTTCAGAAGAAACACCCAGAGGACAGGAGAAGATCCTCTAGATCGTCCAAAAACTATTACTACTGAGGGGGGACAGAATGAGCCACTTAGAGTGGCTCAGGACTACAGCACCCTCCTAATTAGACTGTAAAAACCTTAAGGTAAATTAAATTTCAATCATCCTTAGCAAAAACCCAAGAATAAATCATAAGCCTTAAATTTCATTTACTGCCATGAGCACCGAAGATACCCCATTTATTTTTTATACATAATTCAGAATGACTTTATCACTTGTCTGCTAGAACTCACAAAGATTTAATTTGCAGCAGGTTGAAGCGGGCTGATTAAGCAGGCTGGTTACCAAATGAATGTTAACCTGTCTGAACTAGCCTACTGTCACATTCTCATAGCGAGGTTAAACAGAAGTTTAGCTGCATAAAAAGCCTAGCTATCATCTTAAAGGAAGTGAGTAATAATACTCGGGAGCAAATGAAATATTGAAGATGACATACAGGTCAAGTCCAATTACCTATGAAACTCCTGTGACAAGAGCCTAAGAACTGTATTTGCTGCGATAATCCCCCAGTTTAATTAGCATTTTTATAAGTCGTAAATAATAAACAAAACCTGACTGTTATAAAACTTGAAACTTTGCCCTACGGTTCCCACACTGTCTGAAATCCTGGTAAAACACACGCACGCACACTAACCACACACAGCCTGCAGATCCCTAACAGCATCAAATAGCCTGACAGATGCCTGGAAAGGCTCCTGGTATCTTTTACATGCACATTAAAGGAAGAGTGGTAAGATCAAGCAAGCAGTTATTGTGCTGCTTCATCACTTGGCCCAATAGCAGGGTGTTGCAATTCTAATTTGCAACCCTATATTATAGTGTCAAAGCGTCTCTCAAAAATGAGCTAACAGCAGAAGGGGTTCAACATCAGAGCACATTTCATCCTACTCCCCAGACAGTTGCTGGAATGTTGTTGTTGGTTTTTTTTTGTGAACATTTGTGTGAGAAATGGCCCTCTCCTTTGACTTTGAGAAGTTTATGCAAAGCAAAGGCTAGGGAAAAGAGAAGCTCTGCCTTTCATTTCTAAAGTAATGTACCAGCAGGAACATTTCTCCAGAACTGAGTTATCTTTATTCCGAGATAAAGGAGACAGCCCTCTCTCAAGAGAGACTCTTGCACCAGAAAGTTTAATCTTTATTTTGGAAATTATAAAAACATCAATATTAAGCAAAAGATTGCTTTTCAGGCAGCTCAGTCCAGTGCCACAGATAGCAAACCTCAAATATTTGAGTGCAGGCCACTTGGGAGCATCTGCAGAAGTGTCTCAGGGGCTAGAAATGTTTAGGCATCAGGCTGCTCTTGGAGTGATTTTTCTTTCTAAATACTGCATCTGCTTACTCCCAGACAAGGTTGCAGTACGTTAGATGTAAGAACTGCTGTGTCGCATTCATCTTCCCAGGAGGGTGGACATGATCTTCTACCAATTCCAAAACAGAAAATGTTGGTTTGTTGCCTCAGTACCTGATCTCCAGTATTCTCAACCCATGAAGCCGTTTTGTGATAAAACTCAAAACGTTATGAAGTTTTTCAGAGTGTTTTCTTTTTCCACATGAAAACCACCTCTGTATGAGCATGGTAGCTTGAACCAGATGGCTTTTGTGTGCACAAGAATAGACACTGGAAGATACATATACAGAACTCTTAGGACTAGTAGATACAGATTATGGAATAAATACGACATTAAAGCAGAAATAAATACTGTTATTCCATTTTTCTAAACACCAGATATGCACACACGCAAAGCCCTACTGCAAAGGTCTCCCATTTGACAGGTCCATGAGGTGGAGAAAGAATCTGAGCGAAAAGCAAATCTCTTGTCCAGCACGGGGTATACAGCGCTCATACTTGCTGAAAGTTTAGAAAATCACCCTTTTGGCCTCCTTTAGTTTCTAAATGAGGAGGAAATAAGATTGAAGCCTCAAAAACATTTCAGAGATATTTGCAATAGGATAATCCTTTCAGAAGACAGCACAGATATTAGTGTGCTGCTGGTACACAAACAGGTAACGGCACAACCTGGACTAACATGCACACAAGGATACCTGAAATAATATTTTAAGTACTCAAAGAAAGACTGCTACCAAATGTTAAAATTCATGCTTTCTAACACTAAGACGCTACATTTATTTGTAAACGTTCAGTGTAAGGTGATTTGTATTTTAATTGCCAGCATCAGTAACTGGGGGATAAAGTCAAGCGACATCTTTTCTGATTTGAACACAGAGGACTCTTTGCCAAGAACTTTCCAGATTTGGGAGTATTTGCCAAGTCCAGAGCGTTTGAAGTCTGGGTGCTTTAAACAATAGGTTATTCCTCCTGTTAGAAAGCATCGTTTTTATGTAGAAAAATTTTCATTCTAGAAATATGCTCTCAAACAACCAAAAGACCATTTTTTTATCAAATATTTCATGATACAAATATGTCTGCAGCTGCATCAGGAAGAGAAATCACTCACAGCACGCAAATCCAGAGTGCTGCCTTCACAAGCTCAGAAAAAATTAGAAAAATTGCAAGTCCATAATCTTACAAGCTTGCAATCTTCTGAAAGAGCTTGCTGGTACGACTTAATTCCCACTCTCGCAGATTTTTGAAATTACAAAGGAAGGAGCAAACTCAGATCCTTGTACCACTCCGGGGATATTTAACGAAGACATTTAAGGTCTGAGAAAAATAAATAGTAGCACGAACATGAAGCAATGACACCGGCAGAGAACTGCAGCTGCCAGGCACCCGCTTCTACTTGTTAATCTTTGGTGGCTTCGCTACGTTCTCACATACTGAATCTGCTAAGCTTGAAAGTAAGCTGATGACTTTTAGCTCATAAAAACCAGAGAACTGCTGATACAAAAATTATAAGCTCCATTACTGAATGAGGAAAGTAGTAATTGGATTTGACAAATGTGCTCCTCCTCAAACCCAGCCGTACAGTGATCAAGAAAAACAGCACTTCAAAAAAGCTTTAATTGCAACCGTATCTAATGAAGAAAGGAAGAAGGCAAGCTCTAGGAGCTTTCTAATATCTTGCAGAAAGTACACAGAGATCCAAAGTGGCCAGCTTAAACTGTTCTGTAAAGAACTGGATCTCCTTCCTCGACCTCAGCTATTACAGTCATTTTGGAAACCCTGTTTACTCCCACGTAAATACACTTACACGTCTCTCTAGCAATCTGGTAATCTGAATAAAGCCCTGAGAATGGCTCTTCTTGTCAGCTGCCTGGATGAAAGCAGGACTTGCTTAAAAAAATAAATTATGGTAGGAAAACAGACAAGCCCCCGAAGCACAGCGTTTACAGACATATCTATTAGCCCTGTAATTGTCTTCTTGGTGCTTATCATTGTAAAGCATGTCACCTCCAGAGGGG